GAAACACAACGCTGTGGTTGTTTCACGCCGGTCTTCTGTGAGGCCGTGGTATCACTCCGGTTGAGCCGACCCATTCGTGCCGAAGCATGGCTCTCCCACACTTAAACATGGCTTTCCCACACTTAAGCATGACTCTCCCACACTTTTTCCGAATTATAATAATATGTACTTACTATGATTACTTAGACATCACTGACAGAATAATATGGTGAAGGAAAACTTTGTGACGAAAAATCCTCAGGTGCTGTGGGTGTCCATGGGCGGCGCCGATCGCTTACCATCAGATGATCCGTCTGCTCGTTTCTCTCCTATTCCATAAAAAAACCTGTACTTATAATTTCTAATTAAAAAGTTTAAAATCGCAAATTCGCCTTGAGCAAGCGTGGTGATTAATGCTCAAACCTTCTCCGTGTGAGAAGAGGCCTTTGCTCAGCAATAGGCACTTATAGACTGATGATGTGATGGAACAGTTAAATGACTTTGCGTACAGCGAGATGAAAGATAACTCTCTCTCTCTCTCAATCATTAAATCGGGTTATAATTATTCTGGACTAATTGTAACGACAATGTATCCGCCCACAACTGTAGACTAAGGAAGCGACACATAACTTTATTTCATAATATTTTTACGATACGATATTAAAAATTGCATTAAAATGATTTATTGTGCACACCGGGGCCCGCATGCTATGTTATTGTAACTATAGTTCTAGATTGTTACTTTGTACTCGTAAAACTACTATTGTTTAGACATACATAAATAGTATAAATTCCTACACATCTTCTTCTATAATATAAAAATGAATCGCAAAATGTGTTAGTAAGCGCATAACTCAAAAACAGCTGGACCAATTTTGCCAAATCCTTTTGTTTTGTATTTATTATTGCCAGGAGAAGGTTCTTATGAAAGAAAATATTAGAAAAGTAGAGGGGAAAATTGAGGAAAAGGGACCTTTTCATGACCTATGGAACTGAAACGTGGTCTCTTACTGTGGGCCTTATAAAGAAGCTCAAGGTCGCTCAGCGCGCTATGGAGAGGGCTCGGAGTTTCTTTGCGAGACCTAAAAAACGAGGATGTCCGCAAACGAACAAAGGTTTCCGACATAGCCCAGCGGATTAGTAAGTTGAAGTGGCAATGGGCAGGGCACATAGCGCGTAGAACCGACGGCCGCTGGGGCAGAAAGGTTCTCGAGTGGAGGCCACGTACCGGCAAGCGCAGCGTGGGACGTCCACCCGCAAGGTGGACAGACGACCTGATTAAGGTCGCAGGAAGCCGCTGGATGCAGGTCGCTTCCAACCGGCCTATCTGGAAGTCAATGGGGGAAGCCTATGTTCAGCAGTGGACGTCCTGTGGCTGATATGATGATGATGATGATGATGACCTTTTCATTGTTAGCGAGATAGTTGAACCCGTGCGAAGCAGGGGTGGGCCGCTAATTATAAATATCCAACAATTATAATTCTTATGGGAAGTTCTTTATTGAATATTAAGTATTGTCATTACTACATTTACGCAAAGATAAGGAATTACTATCTTGAATTAACTGAGAAAAGCTCTACTAATTCAAGTCACTAAGGGAACAAAGGCGTCATTTTCAAGTTTTATTTTCAAAAGTTGTTTTTTTAAACGTTTTCTATACTGATACTGACAATTCTTACTCTTTTTGCTCTTAAACTTAGAATGTATATTATTTTAGCAGTGTAAAAGAACACGAGATAGGGAAAAACGGTTACCTTTTGTGTACACATTTGCAAGAGTAACCTATTTATTTGTATTTGATCAAGTTTGAAATAAGTATGTACCACTACGGAAATCCCTTCCTTAAACCACATTAGGAGTAAAAGAACATGAAGTATCCAGCGGTAGTTCAAACTATCCCGAAGAATCAACACAATCAAATTGACTTTCAACCTTCACTCAGAAGATATATTTTTTTAAATCGAATACAAGAAATTGCTAGGTCAATGTGCTGCCATCTGCATGTTAGAAGCACAGTTATACCGTAAGACAGTTACTATGGGACAGGTAAATATCGCAGTAATCGAGTGGACAAGCCATTTCCTTTATTCGTTCGATACAGATTACTCGAATCGGCCTGTATCTGTATGATATCGCGTTTTCCGCTGCTTACGACATTAAAGAACGAGGATGTTTCAGGATCAGATTATTGATAAGAAAAATGGGATTGACGTAATCCTAGTAAATACGAATACTCATCACACGAATGACCCGTTAATGGTTTGCTTCAAAAATACCTTTATATTGCAAAAAAATCCTTAATATGACAATAGTCGACTAGTCAAAAAGTCCAAAATATCAAAATCTAAAAGAAAAGGTTTTAAGGACAAGCTGGCTGTCGGTCCTAGTAAAATATTGACAATCACTCGTACGAAAATCGGAGCCCAAATCTCAATGCCAATCCCGAATTTAGTTGTTACTGAAGAACATCTCCTTTCACCTGGAGACTGTAGCCGAAATTGGAATAACTAAGACTACGAAATATATACGACTCTGTCAAGAAAGTACCGGAAAAAAGTCAATAATACACAAAATGTTTGTTATTCATCTAAATTTATTTTATCACCTTCAAAGTATGCTCCTTCAGAAACGATACACTTACGCCAACAAATAATCCAATCATCGAAACTTTTTTTAAACGCTGTTTCCGGGATTGAGTTCAGTGCTCGCCGCGAATTCTCCTTTATGTCTTCTAACGATTGAAAACGGGTGCCACGAAGGGGTAATTTGAGTGTGGGAAAAAGAAAGAAGTCGGCTGGAGCCATATCTGGTGAATATGGTGGCTGCTCGATGGTGTTTGTTGAGTGTTTGGACAAAAAATCGTTTACAATGATGGCCTTGGCCGAAGAATGGCCGAAGGCGCATTATCGTGATGCAAAATCCAAGAATTTTCTTTCCACATTTCTGCCCTTTTTCGTCGAATTTGTTTTCTTAAACGCCGCATAACGCTCAAATAATATTCTTTATTTACCGTTTGACCTTCGGGCAAGAATTCTGAGTGCACAACACCGCGATAGTCAAAGAAAACAGTCAACATGACTTTGACTTTTGATCGACTTTCACGTGGTTTTTTCACTTTTGCGATGTTAACCTTAGTTGCAGACGTTGATGGCCTACCAGAACGAGGCAAATCTTCCATCACATCTCGACCGCTTTGGAACGCTTTGTACCACTCATAAGCACGTGTTTTTGATAAAGTCGATTCACCGTAAGCCTTCTGTAACATTTTGAGTGCCTCCGAACACGAAATTTCATTGGCGATGCAAAATTTAAGACAAACTCTTTGTTCGATGTTTTTGTCCATTATGAAATTCGCAATACACACTAGATATTATAAAACTAAAAACAGCACTGTTTTTAATATAAATAACAGATGCAACTCAAATTCCGCGCCAAAATGGAAAACAGTTATGCCAATCTAACAACAACAAAAAAAAAATTAAAATTCGAATTTGGAACCATAAAAAAACAATCATTCCCGGTACTTTGTTGACTGAATGTATATAGATAAGAGTAATACGATATCAACAAAATATTATATCTATCTCACTTTTCAACCATTGGAAAACGAGCCATGAAGTTTGTGACGTCTGCATCAGATGGGTCCCAGTGTACCACCCAGGGAGACCCATACATTATTAATAGCAAGAAATAACATAGCTTCCGATTCTAGTAACGGGAACTTATGATTGAGACTATGCAGTCACAATGTTAGACATCTTAATTTGTATGAAGCCAGGGAATGTAGGTTTGAAGTCGTGGATGTAGTTATAAATCCTTCTTATTTATTTATTTTCTACAATTCCCGCTAGATATAGGATTTAATCATAAACGAAACTAGAATTTGTTAAGATGTAGACTGACACAAACGTTTTCTAGGTTTTAAAACTTAAATACCCGTTAGAATAATTTTTTTAATATTGTTCAAGAACTACACGGACGATCCTCAGGGAAGTTATCTGCGGCTGCCACTTCTCGCGACCAGAATCTGTCTGTAGAGGCCATGGTGTACTGAGAAGCCGCTTCTACTTTCTGCGAAGCAACTATGATACTCGCAAAGAAGGTAGCGCATAATACACCTATCCTCCTCACGCCGCTACTGCGGAGCAGGAGAAGGAACGTGGTTATTTTTAGTCAGTAAATGTCTGACCTAGGGCAGTAGAAGCCAAAAAATGTTTTTCCTTCGTCAGAAAACTACATTCTTGTATGATGCCAATCAAAGACTATAATAATATTTGAAAAAGAATATCTTCATTTTAGCTGCTGCTGAACATTAGCATCCCCTAATAATTTTTCTAACTTGTATAGAGCACTAGAAGTAAAGGATCCAACCGATACGCATATTTCATATTACATAAGTACTCTTTAAAAATGTAATCAAAGACATCATAAAATTACAGCTGGCTTAGGAAAGGAGCTGACACAACAATCAGAAGGTCATTACAAACATCAAGCACACAATGATACTATAACATTTAATTAAAGTAATTACCCAAGAATCAGAGATTGCGCGCGTTTCTGACAATGATTCAAAATGGCTTCCCACGATGATGCAGCCGTCACGCATGGAATAAAAATGGCCGCTACAAGAATTTCGAAAGATTAAATTGATAAGTATGGTAAAATATTGTTAATTAATTAATTAACATCTCGTTTTGTTGTTAGTTATGAATATTTTAAATATGATGGAGCTGTATGGAAGTGTTTCGTATTGAATGATGATGGATATTTAAGAGATAACATCAACATTTCTCCGGATGCAATTGTCAACTTTAATAATTACCTACGGTGAATTTCAAACATCCCTGCAATTTCTCTTTGACATTTCTGATCGGAAAAGATACATCTCTAATATCAACTTCTGCACAATTGCATAACAAAGGCTATTTTCACTTCAGTAGGTACACTGCCTGATAATAATTTTTGGTTTCCATTTACAAGTGTTTTAGTTTAAGTGTGAGAGAGCCATGCTTCGGTACGAATGGGTCAGCTCGACCGGAGTGATATCACGGCCTCACAGAAAACCGGCGTGAAGCAACCACAACATTGTGTTTCGCCGTGTGAGTAAGGCTACCGAAGGTCCAATCCTTACCCTTCCCCAATCCTTAACTCTCGAAAGCCCTAATCCCCAAAAGGTCGGCAACGCACTCGTAACTCCTCTGTTGGTGCGGGTGTCCACGGGCGGCATTGCTTATCATCAGGTAATCCAATAAAAATTCCTATCCATTGAAGTGATCGTGTTTAAGGCCACTGCACAGTTGACAAATCAAAGCACCTGCACATGAGCTGCGCGTGCGCACAATAAAAGTGAACGTGCGACAATGACCTTGACGTCATCGCGTTACGATCACTTATATTAATACTCTACTTGCTATGGGGTAGGTAGGTACAAAGTTGTGGTTAAAAGGGCAAAATTTTATTTTTATTTTTCGTTGTACAAAGTAACGCAATAGCACAAGCAGAAGTTATTTAAAAAATAAATCGTAGCTACATAGACATTATCTTGTTTTTTATTCTTCATGTTCGAACCCAAATAATATTTTAAGGAGAATATATTCGTAGTCTTTCGTTTTTTTTTATATAAATTCTTAAACAAAGAGTATAAAAGTATTTGAATAGAATATTTTGCTATGGTTTTCGCTTCCGCCAAAAAGCCGGTTATGCATTTATAGCTACTTTGGTGTTGCGGAAGTCGCTACCCGGTTTCTTCTCCCGGTCAAGGTCGGAGCTGCGGTAAGTTATTGCGCTTGGCAAATTGACACAAACATTAACTCATGCACTGAACTCATCCAATTCGCTTCGCTCCAACATACAGTTATAAACACAAAATATTATGCTCCTTAATTAATCCGCGATAGCTAATTGAATCGCTCTCTCAGCTTCCTAATTGAGCTTAATACGAAAAGGCTGCAGGGCTTATCCCGACTGCCGATATTAAAACGATATTTGCTAGCCACGGGCTCTATTATTGCGAAATATTTAAACGGCTATTAGTATGTCTGTCTTGTGTATAACTTTATATTCGCATTGACATCCTAATTGTCGGATATCATAACGGAATTAGTACTTATAATCAAATGCCCATGCTGAATGGTTTGCTGTGGTATTTTGTTATTTTAACTGTACATATAGTAAATTGTGTTGACAGCTGTTTGTTTAAGCTATTGACTATCTCTACATATATATTAAGTACGTTTATTATATCTACATAATGCTAGCGGCCCGCCCCTGCTTCATACGGGTATCTACCCTGTTTTTTAGATCTTCCAGCCTTCTTTTTTAATTTATCTATATAGTACTTATACTATTAAGAGGTAAAATTTGTAAGTTTGTATGTAGGGGGTAATCTTTGGAACCGCTGGTCGGATTCCTAAAATTCTTTCACTGATAGATAGCTACAATGTTCCTGAATGCTATAGGCTATAAAACATCACGCTACGATCAAATGGAGCTGAGCAGCGGGTGAAACCGCGCAAGAGCAGCTAGTCTTTCATAAAAACCTTTGGGCATTAATAAAGACAAAAAATAATTGACAAACTTAGTCCAGTCCGCCAGCCGTTTTTCACTTTTTGCGATTCATTTTTATATTATAGATATTACGGCCTAGCTTTTACTCCGCTGTTTTTCTAACTGCTCGCCTCCTATTGGCCGTAACGCAATATTTTAAAGCCTATAGTCTTCCTACTACGACTACCTAACTCAAAAATAATTGTTCAATTCCAACCAGTAGTTCCCGAGACCGAGTTCCGTGTCGTGGTGGCCCGGAGGTTAAGGAGCCCGCTTCTCATGCATGAGGGTGTGGGTTCAAAACCTGGCAGATACCAATGTGACTTTTTCCGAGTTATACGTACTTTCTTTGATTATTTAGACACCACTGACATACGGTGAAGGTAAACATCGCGATCGTGAGGAAACCTGGACTTATAATTTCTAATTATAAGTTTGAAATCGCCAACCCGCATTGAGCAAGTGTGGTGATTAATGCTGTAACCTTCTCCGTATGAGAAGAGGCCTTTGCTCAGTAGTGGGCACTTATAGGCTGTGATGAGTTCCCGAGATTAGTGCGTTTAAACAAATTCTTCAGTTTTGTAATATTAGTAAAGATACATACATCTGTATATGTATGATATATATAGCTATAGATATAAACATTTATTTTTATGTAATAGACCGGCAAACCAGCGAACGGATAACCTGATGGTAAGCAATCAGCGCCGCCCATGGACACCCGCAACGGAGGTGTTAAGAGTGCGTTGCCGACCTCTTAGGGATTAGTGTTTTGGAGATTAAGGGATTGGGGAGGGATCGGGGGAGGGGAACGATTGGGCCTCCGGTAACCTCACTCACACGGCGAAACACAACGCTATGGTTGTTTCACGCCGGTTTTCTGTGAGTATCACTCCGGTCGAGCCGACCCATTCGTACCGAAGCATGGCTCTCCCACAATTACTTGTAATACGATAACCCAGTATATATATTTATGAAAATATACTGAATGGAATGATAATGTAAACTGATATACGAACTCTCCTAATCATCGCTAAATTGAAGGCACAAAAAAATCCATCAGAGGTTGTTAAATAATGTAATCAAAAATATTGGATTCATTAACCGCTGTTTCTATTAAGACAGGAATCAATTTGACCTTCGGGGCAGAGTTCTGATTACAGGGGAAGGCAAAACGAATCGCGTGATCACACGGTAGCCGATTCATATTTGTATGTAAATTTTTAAGAGTAAAACTGCGAACAAAAAAGTAAAGTTCCTTTTTAGATAGCGAATTGAGGAAGCGAGAGGATAAGACTACAGATTATTTCCCTCACAAGGCGGAACTGATGTGAATTATTTAAAAAATAAAACAATGGAAATAATCAATTAAATGTGTAACTGACGAACTAAATTTATATTTTCTTATCGCACCTCAACTAAATTTTGAAAGGCTCTTGAAATCTTTTATTCGAGACCTCTTACTCCGAAAGACGATCTCCGACCACCGTAAGCGCGGGTCTGCAGACCGAGTAAAGGTAGCTCGCCGTCCGACCAGAACCAGACCCGAGCGTACGGCGCGTAGCGTTACGCGCGTGGCTGAAAGAGCCAATAGACCACAGACAATGCCCTATAGGGCTGATGTTCAGCCGGGGTTGCGGGGTAAGTGCAATGAGGCACCGCGGCCTCGGCCCAGAGCAGGAAAAGAATTGGGGGGTGTTTTAGTCGGTAAGAGTCTTGATAGGTACTCCCTCCCGCCCAACCCTTGGCGTGAGAAGTCATTTGATGTTATTCCAATCACAAAAAGACCTCCTTACTCGGTAGAATCACTTGGTTAGACACATAGAAACGCCAAATTGACCGAGTTAGCAAATGATAGTATAATAATTATAATTATTTTCTTCACATACATAAAAGAACGATATAATTTGTTTATAATGAAGTGAACCTACATAAATTTATTGCATTTTGATTATGTAGTTACTTGTTGGTCGTTAATTCGATCTAGGTTAGTTTAGCTTAGATAAATTGGCTGACCTTAGGATCTAGGCGACGCCTAAATAACTCGAGTGAAGCAGTTTATTTTCCATGAATTTCCATATTTCATCGATTTATTTAATTAGGCTGCGCAGTCAAGTGTCTAGGTTTAATTAAGAGTTTATTGATTCAAAATATTTTGTCCTCATTTCAAATGTTTGTCCATGAAATTGAACAGACCACGCGGTTGAGCCATGCTTGGGGATCGAGCGACGATTTCCAGCCACCGTGATTGTGAGTCAGCGTACGACCAGAACCAGAACCGAGCGAGCGTAAACGGCGCGTAGCGTTCCGCGCGCGCCTCAAAGAGCCAATAGACTGATACAGACGGGGCCCTATAAGGCTGATGTTCTGCCGGGGTTGTAGGGTAAGCGTAATAAGGTAATAAGGTATCGCAGCCTCGGCCTGGAACAGGAAAGGGAACTGGGTGGTTTTTAGCCAGAGAGAATTGGCATTCCCTCTCGGTTCACTATGGGCGAGAGAAGACATTCGATGATATTAGCTTATCAAAAACTGTTTACCTGAACTTCGATATGTGAGTCATAAATAGCAATTACTAATACTAAGGAACCTAGGCTTAAAACTTTTCAACATTCTAAATATATGTACTTTCCTTTATTTATATTGCTCCTTACTGACTTTAATGCACAAGTAACTTGTTATTAGTAAGAAATGAGCAGGATATATGTCGTATTAACGCTAAGAGGTATGCGTCTGATTGGTGTATGTTCTAAGTTGGGATCGGAAGCGGGATCTTTTTTTTATACATTAGGATTTTTCCTGTATCGTGGGTGAGTTTCAATCATAATTTCACATATGCATGACACCAAGACCTGTATCAACAGTTTGTGAATAAAGACTAAGAGTTGTTCCGTGAGAGAATCAAAACCGCGACACGTTGAACGGCAGCCCAGCCACCGCGTCGACAGTGCTCTCACCTTGCGGTTGATCTTATTTTTATGTTTTTCTTATACTTGGATTTTTAAATTTGTCGTAAGGGCATCATGTATACATACACATACAATTTCGAAAAACAAATGAGAGGGAGTTTCAGAGTCTTGATGACTGAAAACCACTTTGTTCTTTCTTCTGCTCCAGGCTGAGACTCCAGTCCGCTCTATATGGTTCCTGACTGAATGGCTCTACATAAACAATTGTAACTTTATGTTATATAATCTACTAGCTACTCTCACGCGCTGCTCAGTGGAAAGACAGATGGCGCTGTCTAGCAAAGACAAAGAAAAAAGTGAACCTTGATATTTTTAAATAATTTATTATATAAAGTTGAAATAATAAACTAATATTGTTATCTAAGTGACTATAACGAACTAATACATAAGCTCAGATGTTATTTGCCTAGTAGATTCAGTGGTTTTGGTGCAATGTTGTTTATAACATAATCAAGCGAAACAATCAAAGTGAAACACAAATTTCATTATTTGCGTCGCAAGTAGCTAATAGTGGGGCAGTGATTTACACAAAACAAATAAACATTACCTACAGTGCAACAGATAAAAATAAACAGTGAACTTGTTAA